ACTTTGGTATGATAAAGTCTATTGTCCAGCAGAAAAGGTCAACCGAAATGGTGAAGGGACAAGAGCAAATCCCTTATGAGGAAAAAAAATACAGTGTTTTAATTAATATTTGGTTGTAGGGAGTGAGTTGAGTAACAGGAGACATGATATGAATGATGTAGAGAAAGTTAACAAGGAGAAGCTTTCCCCCCTACCCTCACTCATAATAGTGGAATCCAATTGGGTCTCCCATAATGGGAGAGTCAGGACAGATAAAAAGATGTTGCTTCTTCACACAACACACAGTTAAACTGTGGAACTGCCAGCCACAAGAAGTATCTATGGTTTGGATAGTCTTAAGAGAGTACTAGATGAATTTATGGGGGATGGAGGCCATCAATAGATACTGGTCATGATAGTTATACATCTCCTCCAGTATCAGAAGCAGAGTGAGTGTGCATATTAATTGCTGAGATTGTGCAACAGAGGGCTGTCATGCCTCATTGACAGGTTTCCCTTAGGCATGTAATTGATGACTACAAGAAAAAGGATATTGGATTAGAGGAGCCTTAAATCTAATCTAGTATGACTCTCCTTGTGCTTTTCTCTTCTTATTTCTTGCACCTTTAGTAGGCATTTCATCCTTGCAGTTTTGATCCAGATAACCTCAGTTGTTCCTTCCATCCATCTTTTCCTCTTCTGTAGCCAAGAGCCAAAACTGAAACACTGGCACTAGCAGGGAGTGGGGGAACATTTTAGGGAACTCTTGGACACATTGCTAAAACCTCATGCCAGTTTTTTGACTGGACTTGGCTCAGGCATTGCATTGTTTGCCCCCAAACACACCCAGGTCTTGTGAATGTTCACAAAAAAAAACTAAAGAGAACTCTCCATCAGAACTCTTTCACCTCAACTGAAAGCTCATAAGCTTATCTTGATTCAAGGGTGTCCCTGTGGTGGTGTCACCTGGGGCAGGGGGTGGGTGGAGGGAGTGCCCTACCACCCTCCCCCTCCTGATGCCTTTCTTCCCTGCCTGGTAAGATTGCTTCTGGGTGTGCATGCTGCAGCCTCTGGATGACTGTTCAGGGTGTGGCATGGATGCTCAGGGAACCCCAATGCTGTGGTCTTCCAGTGGCTGTTTGGGATCCAGCATGGCTGCTTGAAGGAGCAGCCACATTGGACCCTAAACAAAAGGCACTGGTCCCCTCAGCAGTGCCCGTTGCTTGGGGGAAAGTGCTGCAGCCTTCAGAAAGCCATTTTGAGACTTGCACAACTACTGGGCAAAGAAGAAAGGGATAAGATGTCCTTTCTTGCTCATTCATCAGACACATTAGCCCCACCAGGCGTACCACCCCAACAGGCATACCACTCCACTGAGTGTACAACCCCCCTCCAGGGTGTCACCTGGTGCAGGCAGTATTTTCTGCACCCCATAGTGATGCCACTGCCTTGTTAGAGATAGCGATATGTTGGGAAAGATATTTGAAGAATCCTGGTAGAACACTGGCTCCTGAAATGAAATGAATCAGAATCTCTGCCAGTCAGTGGATGCTAAACTGAGAAGACTCTTGAGTGCCATTGGTCATGGTAAGGTTCTGGGCTTAGGGACAAGGGGGAACAGCATAATCTCTCAGCATTCAGGTAAGCACAGCTTTGTTCTCAGCAGGATGTTAGCAGGACATTTTACTTTCAGGTATTTGGACAGGGAAACTGACTTATGCACCTGCCCCTTCTCAAATGCTCATGATCTCAGGCTAGGGCCAGCAACATGCCAGCTTTCTGAGCTCTTTTTGTACAAGCAGCCACTGCAAGCCCACAGCTGTGTGAAAAGGCTTTTAATCTTCACCAAAGCTAGAAGAACTACATACACCCAGCTCAGTACAAAAGGTGATCTTTTATCTGCATCAGTTCAATTGCTACTTCCTGTATCTGTTCTGGTTGCTACCTTTCAATGTAATGGCAAATAGAATAGCACACAGTACTTGAAATGTGGATCTACCGCAATCTTACATAAGGCTCATAGCAGCCCTTTAATAAAAAAATAGAACATGGAAGAATTCATCTTGGATGCACTTTGTGGTCAAAGTAAATTCTTTTCTATTAAAAGAGGGAGAAAAGGGGGGAAGGATGGAGGGGAAACTCAATTTAGAGTGGTGAGATTGCAAGTAATTGAGTAGAGCCTGGCTCTAATTAAACTAAAATTGATAGGTGTGAAGATATATAAAAAAGCACAAACCAAAACTAGATCACTGTCCTTCAAAGAAGCATGCCCTCGTATAAGGTGTTGTTGTTATTGTTCTTAATGAAGGAACAAAAATTGTAAACACTGATTGGAACTGCAGTCTCTGAAATGAAAACCATCCATTCTGTCTTCATCCTTAGAGAAGAAATAGAGTTTGCAGAAACAATTCAGAGTGAATATTTGGGTCTTCAGAAATGATTCTGTCTGCTAGATGGGCATGAGTCACTATGACCCTCCAGATACATTTGAACTGCAGCTCCCATAATCCATAACCATTGGATGTGATAGAACCACATATACGTTTAGACAGTGAGCCTGAAGCACATGCTGTAGGGAGCCTCCCAGCTGCTATTATCTTTTCTCAGAGTAAATAAATTTATAAAACTAGGAAGTTCTTAAGCATGGGACTGGCAGCAAGAAGGTGGCTAGGCTATTTCTTGCTCCATGAGAACATGCCAGAGGCATGTGCATAAATCTGAATTGAGCTTGAATGAGGTTGGTTGATCCGGGATGGTTCCAAATTGAGTCTAAAGGATGTCACTCATTGTTATGCCAGCGAGGAACAGCATTGGTGAACTTGCAAGTTCAAGGATTTAGCTCTGCATGGCCCATGATACTCCTGACCCTGGAGTAGCCCTGACCTCCCCCTATTCTGAGCTTAGAATGAGGTGCCCAACCTCAATGACATGGCTGGGCACCTTGTTCTGACTTCAGTGTGAGCAACTCACTGCTGCAGTGGCTGTACACAAATTTGTGATTTCACAAATTCAAGAGACCACAGAAGAGCAAGAAATTCCTTGGTATTTTATTGTGATCTGTGGCACAGGATTGGTTGTTGCTGTCAGCTGCTTTCCTGGCTAGGGAAATTCAGAGCTGCTTTGACCAGTGGGGACTGTAGGGAAGGACCAAGTTGTATGGTTTAGATTGGGTGAAAATTGGGTGAAATAGCATGTTACTCTCTAGATGCTATTGGATTGCAAGTCCCAGAAGCCCTAGTCATCATAACTAATTATTAAAAATTCTGAGCATGGAAGTGAAAAAACATCTGAAAGACAACATGATTCCTAACCCTGGCCTTGGCCCTGGCTGCATGGGCCAAATAAGTCAGTTTTCTTCCATCATTTCAGCAGAGAGTCTGGACAGTGCAGGGCCCAATCCTCAAATCCAGCATGAACAGTCCAGACAAAGGACATTTTCACACTAGTCCCTAAAGCCGCCTGGAGCCGCTCATTCCGGAATGGCTCCGGCGGCAAAAACTTAATTCCTTTTAAAACCCGGAATTACCTTTAAGCTGCTGAAGCTGGAGTTAGCGGTGGTAAGCCGGAGGGAGGCCGGAGGGAGGCTGGACTTGCTGCTCCGTGCGTTTGAACACACGGAGCGAGGAGCCGGACGGACGCAGGGATGGCACCGGCGTGAGTGTGAACACGCTGGAAATGGAGCCGGAGTGGGGCCAGACGGAGGTAGGATTGCGTCCTCCTAAAGCCCCGTGTGAAAACGCCCATCCAGCACCAAACCCCTATTAAACTGGACTTTAAAAACTCATTATTTGCTCTGGATCTTCCTAGAAGATCCAGAGCCATCAATTATGATGCCAGGATGTTCGCATATGATGTTCACATATGCATACCCCTACCATCCAGTACAGCCACCACACCAGTGAGTTGTTTATTCTGATGTCAAAACAAGGTGCCCAGCCATATAATTGAGGCTGGGCACCTCATTCTGACCTCAGAATAGGTGGAAGCCAGGGCAGCTCGGGGCAGGAGTATCCTGGCCCATCCAGACACCACCCTAAATCCTATTGTTAAACATAACTGGAATACATCTGTTGATTCAGTGGGATTTTCATCTGTGTTGACTAGCCATTCAACAGTTGATTCAGTGGCTCTGCTGTAGCTGGGACTCCCAATAGAATTCACACTTATGTCAGAGTCCGAGCATGAATATTACTTCTTTAGTGAAAAAGCACCTTGGGCCAACTTTGTTGGACAGCAAGGGGAAGTAAAAGAGAGAGGGAAGAGCTGAAGGAATGAATAAATGTTAGTTGCCTCTGCTTCAAATTCCATTAACATTAACCTGATGCATTGGATGCACAGTGCAGTTAGAGAGGTAATTACAATAAAGAGAATCCATTTGGATTCTGCAGTCAAATGTGAATGTGGAGGAGAGAGAAAAACTCCCATTCAGGGGGATTTTGTTATTATTGCTCAGAAAGCAGAAGACATGCTGGCAGCTGATAGTTAGCAGGTGAATCCTGATCTCTGTTTCCTTTAAGCTAAATTATTTGTTTTGCAAATGTGCTCAATTTTCAAATCCATATTTTACTGTCTCCAGTTGAGCCAAAGATAGCAGAATTCTACCACAGCTCACGAGTCAGTATGCATGTGCAGGCAGGCGATTAAGATGCAACTCCTCCAACATGTGAGTACCCCAGGATCCCTGAGTAATGTAATTTTTGCAAATCCAGTGAAAATCGACTTCATCCGTGCCTCCCTGACTAATGTACACATCAGGATGTAGTTATTTTCCACTTCCTTGAACTTTATAAATTTTGACTTGAAAACATTATCAGCCTATGTTTTTAAGTCCATATTCTGAGATTAAAATAATTTTTAAATGCCTGTTTTATGCCTTTGTGAGAAGTCTGTTCAAAATTTTTTCATTTAAATGTGAGATTTCATGCAAATTGTAAAAATCCAGATTAAATCTAAACTGGAGCAGAACCATGTTATGAATGGACAAGTATAAAATTTGCACTGACTAGAAATTAGGGGCAAGAGCCAGTGTAGTGTAGTGGTTTGAACATTGGGCTATAACATTGAAGAACAGGGTTCAAATCTCTGCTCAGAAATGGAAACCAATTGGGTGGGCCATGGTAAAGTTGCATTCTCTCTGCCTCAGAGGAAGGCAAAGGCAAATCCCCTCTTGCCAAAATCTTGCCAGGAAACCCCATTATAGGTTTGCCTTTGGGTTGTCATAAATTGGAAATAACTTGAAGTCACACAAAAACAACAAGAAGAAATTAGGAGTGTAATTCTTCAGTAATTTCATTCTTGATTAACTTTGGTAATTCTTCTTGCTGTAAGATAATCTTTGAAAACTGCAGATCTTAAGACTATTTGTTGTTTAGAATGTATTATGTACAAAATTCGTACATCTGTGTTTTTTAGCAGAAAATTATGCGAGGGGGTATTATAAAGTAATAATTATCACCCAGAGGTTATTATAGTATATTGAAGAAATTTTGTCAATGTCATCATTGGTCCCTATGTGCATGATGTTGAGAAAATCAGTTCATTGTGTCCCTTATTTTAGTACAGGTTGTGCCAGAAGTGACTAAAGTGTAAGATGGAAAAGTATGAGGGTGTATTGTAAAGTAATAATTATCACCTGGAAGTTATTATGGTATATTGATTTAATTTTGTCAGTGTCATCATCAGGTGACTTTTCTTTTCCCATAAATGAAAAATCTGTTGTGGGGTCACTGATTTGACAACACAGATGATGTCATTTATGAAGTGGAAGAGTGGTTTAAGGCGCAAGCTGCAGACTTCTACAATAACGGCATTCAGAGGGTCAAGAAACGCTGGGGAAAATGTGTAAATCTGGATGGTGACTACGTAGAGATAAGTAAACGACTGCAAATCAAAAGAAACTTTCTATCAAAAAAATTTAAGGTGATAATTAAAACTTTAAGATGTCCCCTCATATTTTCTGTGTAGGAAACTGCATTTTCTACACATAAAATAATATTTATGATGTGAACTAGAAAACATATGTAGAATTTTTTTCTTATTCATAAAACTACATGCAAAATTTGTGTAGAATAAGCCTTCAACTTTGAAAATTCTCATCAGTCCAGGATTATCTTCATCACAGTTTCTTAACCCATAAAAAACATATTTTTCAACTTTTTCCAACATATTTTTGAATATTCTTTCCACCTCTTCCAGAAAGTACCTGACCTGGCCATTTCTGATAGCATATCGCTGAAGATCTAGCTCCAGTGATGTGCCATGTGGTTGCCAGGAGCTTAGAAAGAGCCCTGTTCAATGTGCCAGTTGCTGTTCATGCAATACTGCATCACCCATATATCTTTGGCATGCAAACACTATATTGTACACGTTATTGGCTGGGATACAAGTTAAGTACCTCTTAAATGTTATGGCAGTTCTAACCTCTGCAGATAAGTGCTTTTTGGCATGACTGCAAATGGAAGGTATTACATTGAAATTCATGCTTCAAAATTAGTTGTATCTCACTAGCAGAGCACACACTTTGCACATACATATTTCCAGTATCAGCCCCAACATCTCCTTGTTAATAAGATTGGGGGGGGGGATTCAAGTCTGGAAGACCACTGAGAGTCTAATAATGAAGAATATTAGTTTAAAAGGGTGTTAATTAACCCATTACCTTCTAGAGGAGTTTGAATGCAGCTTCATCTCCAGTCAGTGGTATTCCCAACTATACATAGGCTAAGGATTATGGGGTTATAATCTAACACCTGTAGTGGGTGCCATTCTGTGGAAGGCTGGGTTAGAGATGAACCAGTGCTATCTATCAGTCCAGGAGTGACCAAAGTACAGTTCTGGAGCCACATATGGCCTTCAAAGCTTGGTTTATGGTCCTCAATCCTTGCAGACTCCTTGGTCACTCTTTTCTTGCCAAGAAAAGAGGGAAGTGGCATTTCCTGGTAACCTGTAGGGAAGGTAGTTACCTTTCCAATTAGTCTGCAGGGTATTTTTAACATCCCCAAATACCTATTTTTTTTAAAAAAAATCACAAATGGTTGCCCAGCCATATTTAGAGTGTTTTGACATTTTGGCAATCTGTGCAATCTCTAGAGTGTCCTAAAGGCAGCAAACTGGGTCACAGATCTACCCAATTGTCTTAGTCTAAGGCAGTTCCATAAGCCAGACACCCAAAGTTAAGCTGGAGCATCTGTGCTGCCCAGGTATGTACTGAATGTTTTTACCATGACAAGTCACACAGCTGTACAGACAGGCTGGCTTTAAACAAAACAAAGCCTTTCTCATTCTGCCCAATGAACAGTTGCAGTAAACTCCATCAAAACCACCCCAAGTTACGTGCATGCTAATTCCCTAACCATATTGTGGCTATCTAGGATTATGAACTCCTAGAAAGCAACTCCATTCCTGCTGAAACCCATCAAAGGAATCTGTATTCCATTGATCATCTACAATACAATCAAATTATTATCATTAGCTCAAACGTTAGGAGCAAAAATGAGGTCAAATATTATTCCTTATTGTTATTATAGTTATATGTATACCACCTTTCTCCCCAAATTGGGACTCAAGGTGGCTTACAATTTAAAAAAGACAATACAGCTAAACACACAGAAAAACAGTGAACATTAAAATAGGAGCAAACTTTTGATAATATTAAGATGATTGAAAACTAAATTTAAAAAGATAAAATACCATTAAAAGATAAAAAGCCTTGAAAACAGTTCAGTCTGAATTAGTACAGTGCCTTCAGCCCATTCTTTAAAAACTTTGCTGGAATAAAAAGACCTTTGTCTGGTGATAGAAGGATAACAGAGAAGGGGCCATGCTGGCCTTCCTAGGAAGGGAGTTCCAGAGTCCAGGGGCAGCCACCGACAAGGCCATTTCTCATATCTCCACCAACTGTTCTCCTGATGGTGGTGGGACTGAGAGAAGGGCATCTCCTGATGAACTCTTGGCCTCAGCTAGCTCAAATTCAGAATTTTAACTCTGTAACTTTCTCCTACCTGTGGTTTTTGTTGTTAACTGCTGTCAAGTCAGCCTCTACTCGTGGTAACCCTGTGAATGAGACATCTCCATTCCTCCATATCCTCAACTGCTCTGCTTAGGTCCTGCAAGCTCAGGCCCATGGCTTCCCTGATTGAGTCTTCCCATCTGGCATGTGGTCTTCCTATCTTTTTTCTCCCCTCTACCTTGCATAGCATTATAGTCTTTTCTAATGAGTTGTGCCTTCTCATGATGTGGCCAAAGTATGACAGTCTCAGTTTTGTCATCTTTGCTTCCAGGGAGAGTTCAGGTTTGAACTGTTCTAGGATCCATTTGTTTGTCTTTTTGGCCGCCCATGGTATCCTCAGCACTCGTCAGCAGCACCACATCTCAGATTTTCTTCTTATCCACTTTCTTCACTCTCCTGATCTCACATCTGTACATGGTGATGGGGACTACAATGGTTAGACACTTCTAGCTTTAGTGCTCAGTTGTATATCTTTACACTTTAGGATCTTGTCTAATTACTTCATGGCTGCCCTTCCCATTCCTTGTCTATGTCTTTCTTGACTGCAGTCTCTGTTTCAATCTATGTTTGATCCTAGGTAGAGAAAGTCTTTAACTATTTCAATTTCCTCATTATCTTGGTGGCATTATCTAGGGTGAATCTGTGGAAGGAGAGTTTATTTAGCATAATCTGACCTCCCCATCAGCTTCCCAAACTTCCATTAATTTATGTAAGACAGATAGATTGGAGACGATGGAAGAAATGTGCCTTAATTGTTGTCCACTGACCATCAGACTATTTTTTATTTAGTTACCTCAATCGTATGGATCCATGATTTCTTTCCCCACCATTCAGGTAAAATCTGAGGATAACAAAGTTGCCATGCCCTGCAGATGTTTTGTGTGCATTGATGAGATAACAATGTGAACCATTTCAAATATCTAAGAAGTGATATGTAAATGATGCTTATGAATATTCTCAGATGAAGAGGCAGGTTTTTGTTATTCAGCTGTGTGGGAAACACACTCAGCTACTGCTAATTGCTTTATTTAGTATTATAGGTAGGCATTCTTTAAGTACGGTGTGGTTCACTGGGGAATGCATGAAGCAGAGGAAGTAGCGACGGAAAATCTCTCAAACACAACTTGTAGGCAATCTTTTTTTCTGTAGCTCTTTTTAACTCACAGAATACATAACCCAGTATTGGCTTGGGTTACCAAAAAAGGGGGGGAGAAGAAGAAGCATTATTCTGAATTCTGGAGATGTAGCATTTACTATATATATATATATATATATATATATATAGAGAGAGAGAGAGAGAGAGAGAGAGAGAGAGAGAGAGAACACATAATCTGTGGCACTGAGTGTGGCATATTTCTTTTGTCCATAAATTTGTTACTGACATATCCCCTTTGCTTAAAGTTAGTGCAGGAAAAGGAATGGTTGCAGTTTGTGGTTGAACATATATGTATGGTGAATGGAAGGTCCAGTTAATCATAAAAGGTTGGTCAAGCCTTATATGGAATTATGTGTCCAGTTCTGGGCACCAGAATTCATGAAGGATATTGACAAGCTAGAATGTGTCCAGAGGAAGATAACCAAGGAGATGATCATACAAGTTAAAAAGTGCTGGAAAATGCAACTTACCTCTCCTGAATTCAAGTAAAATTCGGGCTGTATCTAGATCCTATCGCACGGCTTTCCCTCAAAAAACTGCCATCCAAATGCAGCCTGAGTGCAGCCTGAGTCACTTAACTCACTCCAGCAGCCATTTTTCAAAGTCGGAAGCTTTGGATGGCCATCTTTCAGGGGTGCTTTCATAATGTATTCCTGTATTCAGGTATTTTGCAAATGTTTGCAAATGTGGACTTCTATAAATTTTCAGTTATTCTCATGGTAACTGACTATTTCTCATATCCATAAAAAGTACTTTGAGTTCAGTATTTAAGACCTTCTTTGTAAGTCTTTAAAAGGGATTGGATTGCCATCTTTTCAAAATGCTTCAGTTATGTATTCCTACTTGGAAGGGGTTTGGACTATATGGCCCTTGTGGTCCCTTTCAACTCTAAAATTCAATGATGCTACTAGATAGGGCTATAGACTCCT